ACTTGTTTGATTGTTTTCGCCATCGGTCTTGACTCGATCACCTGAAATTAAAAGAAACTATTAACGACTATCAATTGGTCTCGATACGCCCGTGTTGTTCCACCGCAAATAAATCCACCCTACTACGCTTCACTCGATCGCATTTATCGTATGTTGAATATATCACAACATCAATCTTGCAAACACCTATACCCACCAATTCATCGAACGTACCATCTTAAATGTAACGCAGAAACTATCAGAGACTAAGCAGTCACTCGCAAACCTCTCTCAATGGTTTCAAAACGATTCCCATCGACTGTGAACCCACGAATCGTCCCAACAACGTGTACGTATCAAACGTTCGATTGGCTTTTGCCTCAGGTACATCCTTCGTTATTCCAGATATTTCCTTCTCGTCTGCAGTGTCACCGAACAAATCCATACTACACACCTGAAAGCACATCAAAAGTTATCATTTCGACACAATTCATCCACATTAGCAAAATTTGATGAGCACAACAAACCTGCATAATCTCACTGAGACACGCATCAAGATCTTTGGGTGAGAGATGCGCTTCCATAGCTGATATTAGAGCATGTGTTGTGAAGATCATCACATGAACCTAAAAGTTTAGGTTCAACCAAACAACTCGAATCATACGTCATCAATACGCTTACTGTCAGCAACACGACTGACGCTACCTACCAATGAGGACTACTCATAAGAGAATACCACCAAAAAAGCGATTTTCGGAGCGATTTACCAAATTTATCTTTACCGTAACTCTGAGATTCATGCAGAAATTAAAAGCACAGATATTTCGCCATCACCGAATAAGCAATCAGCACATCAAAAAGTACAACGGCCTTCCTAAGATTCCAAACAGATAAAAAGCGCAGAATCGTCAAAATAGTCCAACCTGATATCCTTTATTCAAGATCATCTTCATTTCCTTCACGACAAACGGCAAATACTTCGGTCCAAGTGCCTCAACGACGGAGATAATCGTCTTTCGAGCAACCTCACGCACGTTTATCGATCGCGACATTAATAATGTACACAATTTCAATACCACACTAAAATATCATCCATGATTTCTTTGGGAAATCTCGAAGAATATTTTGTATTTATGAAACCATTGGAACGGCTTGCACTAAATTCTTCTCTTACGATTAATCCGATACAAAAGACCTTATTATATTCAGGATGGAGAACGAAGAACTGAATACGATCATACGACCAAATCGGCACATACCCGTGTAAATGTTGATCAATAATGGTTTGTGGCATTTTCTTTAAC